TGCTTAAGGCATCTAAGAGGGCTGCTTTTCTTCCCTTTCTAGGGAGCAGTAAGGCCATGGAAGCCGCTTCCAGTGCATATTACAACCCTGCCAACCCACACAATGTGTATATGCCCATGGTGAGTGCTGCGCCGGTGGCCTGCATGTGCCTGCTCCCTCTTCTGTCACTGGTAGAGACTGCAGTTTGCTTCCCTAGCAAAGGCTAGCATGCCTTCACCTTGAAATTGTGCAGGAAGAATGCATTTTCCTGGGAGGGAGGCATGGATGTTGGTCCCATGAAGAAAGCTTGTTAGATCCTCAGTTGGGAAAGGTGGAAGGCCTTAAGATTCACCCTGTAACAGCCATTCGGTGCTTGTCTTACTCTTAAAGGCAGAATACATTTGCATGGGCACAGAGAGCACACAGGAAACTGCTTCTGTTGGGCCTGGAAGTTGGCAGTTACAGAAGAGCAGGTTGCTTAAGGATGAGAGCGTGTGGGCTGCCTTTTTTTTTTTTTTTTTTTGAGGGAGTGGGCTGTATGGAGATCACAGAATCACAGAGTGGTTTGGGTTGGAAGGGATTTTAAAGATAATGCGGTCCAACCCCCCTGCCATGGACAGGGACACCTCCCACCAGACCAGGTTGCTCAAAGCCCTGTCCAACCTGGCCTTGAACACTTCCAGGGAGGGGGCATCCACAACTTCCCTGGGTGACCTGTGCCAGTGTCTCAGCAACCTCACAGTACCGGATTTCTTCCTAATATCCAGTCTAAATCTACCCTCTTACAGTTTAAAGCCATTACTCCCATCCTGTCACTTTCTGCCCTTGTAAAAAGTCCCTCCCCAGCTTTCCTGTAGTCCCGCTTTAGGTACTGAAGGAAATGGGGAGGTCTCTTACTGTTCAGTCAGTGGCAGCTGGTAGGTGGGCTGCAGCCTGTACTTGGTAGGTGACAGCCAGTCTGGCTGTGCCCTTTTCTGCTTCCTGGGGCTCTGTGGTTGGCCAGAGACTGATGGAGCAGCAGAGCCGGCCCTCAGCCCAGGGCCCTGCTGTCTGCTGGATCAGAGCTATGGCCATCAACAGAGACAAAGCCCTGGAAGTGAGAGGAAGATGGGGATTAAAACAGATTAAGTCGTCTTTTTAGACCTTTTGTTACCTGATTTCGAGGGGACCTTCACTAGAAATGTTATGGGAGGCAACATATATCCTGGAGCATAGCTGATAGTAGACAGGAATGGTGTGATGAAACAAAATATTTTCAGTCAGAGCTGAAAAGCAAGCATTTCTTGTAAGCTGAGCCTGGGAACGCCTGGGAAGAGTTGGTCATAAAACAAGCATGGTTGTTGACTCTACTGTATCTCCTTTCAGGATCAGCCACCTCCTTATACACCTCCTGAGGATAAGAAGAACAACTAGCAGAAGGAAATGACAACCAGCCTCACGTGGTCTCTCTCCCTGAGGACAACTTGTCTGTTACTACCCTTCGGGTTAGCGTATCTCTAGGTCTCTCTGTATATATACAATATATGTAGTGCTGGGCAGCTGAGTGCCTGCCCTCCTTAAACATTGAGTTGGTGGCAATACAGGTGGAACAACAGCACTTTCCTGCTTATTTGCTTTATCTCATGGGGTTGAAGCACTAACTTTTTGCTCTGCTGTTGGCTTGAGGAGAGAGATGGACTTCTTAAATCACCAGTAGACCACATCACTAATCTAGGACTAGAATATGAAGGCTCTGAGATCTTGGAGTGAAACTACTTGGAATGCCAAACTTTTTCGTCTGAAGCACCATCCAAGAGGAAAGGTACAGAGAGCCATGAGGTTCCTTGCATAGACCCTTGGGTGCCCCAGAAAGGTGTTAGATTTCCTTAAATTCTGGCACAGCTCAGCATGAGAAAGGACTCTGGAAATCCTCTGTTGTACTGGAGGTGTGTTTCATGTCCTGGACTAAAAGCCATGGTGTGACAAATTTGGGAAGTGCATCCTAGGAGACGCTGAAGCATTTGGCTATTCAAGCGGGAAGGAGATGGGCCCCACTGAGCCTGCTTTTCTAGACACCGAATAGAAAAGCAAACAAAGGTGTGTTGCAGGGCGGTGAGCCGATACTGGCAGGCAGGCAGATCAGTGTTCCTTTCCCTCTGCTAGCAGCAGGTCCCAGATCTGTGCAGTGATCCTGTGCCGAGCAGCCATTCTTCAAGCGTAACGGAGTCAGGCGCTGTGCAAGAGGCTCCTTGCCTTGGGGCAAAATGTGCTGCATTAGGAGGATGACCTGGCATGGGCCTTGTCAGGAGATGGATCCTGCAGCCCTGGCTCCCTCTGCTGAGCGGGCTTGTGCTGTGTGCTGGCTCCCCAGGGGAAAACTGGCCTGCATCTCTTCTTCCTTGGGTTGCTGCACCCAGGGTGTATATGCCCATGTCTGAGCAGCATGGGCAGGTGGGCTCCATACTGCCAAATTTGGGTTGCTCAGGGGTGCAGTGCCCTCTTTCAGCTGGGAACCGCTGTCTGATGTGGGTGTTACTAACGCTCAGCTCTCTTGCAGAGAGACTGGCTGTTCAGCCACAACCTTTCCTTCTTTCTTAGGATACTGTGCCATTAAACCTGCTCTGCAGAGTGTCTCTAGTTCTGGTGGAGACCCTTGTGATCCTTTTACATCTGGGGTGGTTGTACTCCTTCCTACAGCCTTCCTACCTTCACAGTGAAGGAGGAGGAGTGTTTTCCCTCTTACTTCCCTGTGTGCCAGGGCTCTCCTGTAAGTCGGGCTTGCAGGACTTGCAAGTGTGAATTCCTAAAGCAGCCCTGCATGGGGGCAAGTAAATTTCCTCATCTATAAACACAATTTAAGTCTGAATTAGAGATATTCTAATAACTCTGTATTTTAAAAAAATAATTATGAATGTTTGTAACTTTTGAATTGCACTTTAATACAGGAGTGTTGATACCTTTAGCTGCCTTTGTGTGTCTTGTGTTGGCCTTCATTCCTGCCTGCTGCACAGAAGGGTTGAACAAACAACAGCCACTGGTGGTGGTCTTTTGGGTGGGCTGTGGGCCAGTCCTCCTCTATCCCTGATTCATGGCTAAGCTGGATCTGGAACCAAGTAACTGGGGGGAGAGAAGAAGGCAGGGCTTATCCTTTTGCTGCCTGGGGAGAGTGGAAGGCTGGTCTGTGCCTTTGCTCTCACCCAGATACCCAGAACTGGCAGGTATGTGTGCACGTCCTTGGGGCAGGCACAACACTGCATTTGGCAGAGGCAGTGTCCCCACCCTGCCACTCACTAAGGCTGTATTCTTAGCAGCTCTTCTGTGGACATTTACATTTCCTGCCTATTTTTAGGCAGCAGGAAAGCCTGTCTTTAAGAGGAACTCCTCTCTAGCCATTTTTTTTCCAGAGAAGTAAAAACAAATATATAATAACTGTGGACTGTAAAATCTGACTTCCCCCTTGTGCCAAGGAATGCCATTGCCATGCTTAATGCTGTAACTACTGGAGAGTGGCTTTCTACTCTGCATCAATCTAGCCTCTGACAGGAAGCCAGTTCTACTGCTTAGCACACTTGTTCCTGTATTGAGGTACTGACCCTGTAATCCTACATTAATCAAGTAGCTATAACTAGCAACGCTGAATAAACACGAAACAGAGAGCCTGTGACCAGCTTCCCTTTTATTTCAGATAATTTGCCTCAATCACTCCCCAAGAACAAAGCCAGCGCCCATATACAGACATGAAGTGTGTTCATCCTTTCCTGTTAGCACTGCAAGTGCCATGTTCAGAATCTTGCTGCTGCACTCGGAGAAACTTTTTGGAAGTGGCCAGAATTGGCCATTTGGTTCTGCAGGAAGCAGCGTGGTACCCAACCCTCCTCCATCACCCGAGTAGAAAAGGGAACCTTTCTCTCTGGTCTGAGGCTTAGTCTTGTTGGTCTCCCTGTCTTCAGAGGCAATCTTCACAAATGCTGCACCTCTCTCTGGGACGGTTGGGGTGGGCCATGTCTCGCCTAAAACTCCTCCATAGGATGTGCATTGTATGAAGGTGAATCAGTTGAGAGCTCTGGAGTCTGTCCTGCTGCTCACTTCCAGTTTAATAGTGCAGGCTCCTCCTCAGGATGGAGCTGGGGATGTAGCTGCCCTGGGGAGGAGCCTTTCCCTGAGAAACCCTGAGTGTTCAGCCTGCTGGAAGAGGGCCTGAGCCCCTTTTTAGGAGGAATTTCCTGCTAGAGCAAGAACAGGCTGCAGCTTGCAGCTCTGAGGCACCTGTGACCATCTCCCACCTCAAAAGATTATCAACTCAACTGAGCATCAGCATCTTCCCAACACCACTCATGCACAACACGCTGCGGCTCTGCAGGTTTTGGTGCTGTATCACAGCAAAGCTGCTGGGGTTGTATATGGGCAACGCAGGTTTTTGCTCTGCTCTGCTGTAAACTGATAGAAAAGGGACTTTAATCTGATGCACACATGTATGCTAGGCTGGAGTGGTGCTGGCCCCCAGGATCCTGGCGGCAGGATCAGGCCTGCAAGCAAAGCTGCTCTGCACAGGCCCATCATGCCCCCAGGAGCTCTTGGCCCAGGGGAGGGTACCTGGGAAGGGTGCAGCCCTATTGACAGAGCCTTATTCTAAGCTGAGCTGATTATAGCAAAAGAAAGAATGTGGCCAGGTCTGATCCTTGAAGCTAATGCCATCACGCATGAGGGGGTGGCAGGGGGAAAGGGGGTGCCACTACCCTAGAAGTAAAGTGCTCAGGTATCAGAGCTGACAAACTTCAACAGTGGCTGGGCTCTGCTTATATGGCATCTTCCACAGGAGTATCTCAAAGGACTTTCCAATCACGGAGGAATCAGTCTCTGCATGCCCTCAGGACGTGGGTCACAAGCATCCCTGCTTCATGCAGACCATGTAGACATCATCAAGCTGGTACTGGAGGAATGACCTGGGGAGGCCACTCCAGCCAAAGGCACTTGTGCAGTGAAGAGCCACATGCCCCAGGGTCACCCTGGCACTGACCCACACCCCCATCAGCTGAGCCTCGTCACAGGCGTACCGGGCGGAAGCCCCCACTGGGGTCTCGCTGCCTGTCAACGTGCCAGGCCCGTGCCATGGGACGGAGATGCCACATCACCACCCCTGAGGGGTTAATAATGACTGAGAAGCTGTCTCCTGTATTTAAGCCGCTGATGATCTTCCCGCTGTACACGTCATGTACCTGGAAGAGAGAGATGGTGGCTACCAGGATTTCCACAGACCTTTCATCTTGAGGTCCAGCCATGGTCACTGACATGGCATGGTGGGACAGGGCACAGCAGTGGGCAACAGGAGGGCAACCCAACATGCAGCTGGCCAGCGACTGGGAGTCCTTCCCCCCCCAAAAAGAGCAGAGTGTCAAAAGAGGGAGCTGGAAAGAGGGCGATCCAGGTGACATGGGGCTGCCCCCCTACACAGCATGCTAGAGGGGCTCACCTCATACACACCACCCTCAGGGAAGTGGAGCTTGGCCAGGCTGGTGGTGTAGCGGAAGGGCATATCCGTCCTGCGGCTGAAGAAGACGAGGACACTGGCGGCCTGGGACAGCGGGCGCAGGAACACCTCAATGTGGGATTTCTCCTAGGGGTGGGGATGTGGGGGGTGAGGAAGAGCTGATGAAACCATCCCTGGCCCATGACTTCTGACCTCGCCCTGCGGGACTGCTATGCCAGCAGGTCCTCAGCTGCCACAGCTCTCCCGCTCATGTTTCTCTGCATCACCTCCCTCTCCCTCCTTATTCTGACCCCTGTGCTGCTCCTGTCTGCTCTTCCAGACACGTCCGCCTTCCCCCTAACCTTGACAATCCTGCGCCCCTGGATTCCTAGGGGGTCTTGGCTGATCTGGATCATCAGGCGGTTCTGCAGGATCTCCTTGGCACTCGGGGAGATGGTGCGGAGATCCGTGGACATAAAGAGTGGAGCTGCCATCACCGTCCACAAGGCCATTTGGGAGCGGGACTGCTCGTAGCTAAGGCCAAAGTTTCCAATGATGAGCTGGAGGGGAGAGGGGGAAAAGACAGGAGAGACAGGAAAGGGTTAGGAACTGGTTTGCTTCCCGCACTTGGTGATGATGCAGCTTGCTGGGGAGAAGCACAGCACAGGAAACCTTACACAAACTTCTGCCCCTCGGGCAGCCTACCACTAGCAGGACATCCCACCCCTGCTGGGTGCTGAGCTGTCCTCACACATTTCTTTCTTCACCTTGCCCATCGAAGGGGATCCCTGGAGACCCCCCCCAGTCCCCGGGCAGGGTGAGTGCACCCACCACCCAGCCGCACCATGTCCGGGTCATTCCAGTGGCCCGGGCCAGCTGCCGGCTGCAGCATGTCCTGGTTTGTGGAGTACCAGTCCAGGATGGAAAGCACACTGTCCCAGGAGTCCTGGATGTCACCGTAGTTGCGCCACAGGTTACAGACCTCTGCCAGGATGGTGTAGTTCACCTGGAAGAAGGAGGAGAAAGGATGAGGTCTGCAAGCTGGAGGAGAAAGGGCAGCCACACTTGTTGAAAGCTGCAGCATCCAGAAGGTGTTTGGTGTTTGCAAGGCAGAGGGATATGGAGAAGGACAACATCATGTAATGATGGAGGACAGCCATTTCCCACCATGTCTGGGCTCATCCCAGTACGATGGGATGTCTGGCAAAAAAACTAAAGAGGTAATGGGTAAGTATGATCAGCAGCAAGAAGGAGGGCAGCTTGTGATTGACTCAGAAGGTGAAAGAGGAAATAAATAAACATACTAAATTCTCAAGAAACATTACTAAGAGGAACATCCTATTTCAAGCACTTAAACCAGACAGGAGCCATCTCAGAAGAACAGACTGTTGAGATCAACCCCACACCAGCTGAGTGGGGCAGAGAGGGCATGTCCCAGTGCCTTCTTCTCCCAAACTCCCATCACTCAGCCACAATGCAAACCCCAAGTGTCCCCATATGCCTGGCAGGAAGGCCACATCCCTTCTAGGGACCTGCAGCCCCATCCTAACAGGGGCAGAGCCAAAAGCGGGGTGAAGTACCCAGCTCCTGCATCTCTGACATCTCTGGCTTTCCCCAGGGCACAGGGGACACGGGAAACAGTCACCGGACAGGACAACCCTCACCTTAGGGGGGAGCCCCCCCTGATATGCTGGCCAGCTGCAGGAGTAGACGATGGGGCGGCCTGTGGCGTTCAAGGCCCTTGCCATTGCTGGGTAGCCTTAGGGAGAGGAGAAGACAACTGGTGAAGGAGACAGAGGGCAGCAGCCTGCGTCCCAGCCCACCCGGTCAAGGGGACCCCCCGCCAGCCTGGCCTCCTGCCTTACAGTGGCTCTGGGGAACTCAAACTCCTTTATCGTTGCCCAAGAGCTGCAACAGGAGATGCAAGGGAAGAGCTGAAGCTTGTGAAGTGTTTCTGACCAAAGCAGCGAACGGAGAAATGCCAGCTAGGCGGGGAGCCTTTACCTTTTGCCTGCACTTTTGCTGATGAGTAGCACCCATCCAGCTTCAGCATGTCCACACCCCACTCCGCAAAGGTCTGGGCATCCTGCTCCACAAGGTCCAGCGTGGTACCCGGGTAGCCCCCGCAGGTGTGGGTGCCCAGGTCACCATAAATGCCCAGCTTCAGGCCCCGGGCATGGACCTGTGGGGAGAGAAGAGTTGCAAGAGGGGACAAGAGAGGCCTCCCCGGGATCAGGTTCCTCCATCCCAGCTCCCAGCTGTCCCACCATGGTGGCGTGGGGACACAGACATCCCCAGGGTCCTCAGCAGGCACTCACGTAGTCAGCCAGGGCTTTAATCCCGCTGGGGAACCTCTCAGGGTCGGGAATCAGCCGTCCCGCTGCATCCCGCTGCTTAGCTGACCAGCAGTCGTCAATGTTGAGGTACTCATAGCCCAGCTATTTCCAGCCATCCTCCACCAGGCGGTGTGCCGTCTCGAAGAACAGCCTCTCGCTGTGGGTAGCGGGGATGGGGACATGGCAGACCTGGCCCCTGTGACCTCCCTGCTCCACTGGCAGCAGGCAGCCAGCAGGACTTTGGGGCTAACAAGGGCCTCTGGGGTCACTGCAGGCCTGGCCTGGGCCACATGGGAGCGTCTCCAGGGCTCCCGTTTAAAGCCCATCCACATCCATTCATTGAACTCATCCCGTAAAGCCCGCCCACGTCTTTCCGCGCCGGGGGCTCTCCAGCCCCAGCACCGGGGCGCCTGAGGCCCCC